TTCAATTTCATTTAAGGCAAGATTCCTAATTTAGTACTTCTAGTTGTGGCCACTCGATTAACTCCTCTATTGGATTGTTGCCTGATGCCTCTATTGTTGAAGCCCGCGCTTCAGCCAAACTGCCCATGTCCCCTAGCTTTGAAACCAGCTCTAATTGTATCAAATATTTAATTGGCAGCTTATTGATATGAAGTTACCAATTCTAAGTAAGCAAATAAAAACAAAGAATATGGATATCATTTTAGTGTCTCGTTGGCCGAGTGGTCGCGAGTGCGATCGCCTGGCAAAGAGTCTCGGGTTCCATTCCCGGGTTGGGCAAAGTATTACTGGGTTTTTTCAAGAGTCTGGAAGTGTGCCCGGTATATGGTAATAAGCTCACCCCCTATTACATGGGACTCATAACATAAATAGTAAAACTGTGGATATTACATTGTACAGTGGCATTAAGTGCCGTAATATGCATCTCTGCTTACTCCTTCGGGGGAAAAGGCATGATGTTATGTTATGTTAAATATGGATATCACTTTTAATGAAGTGTTTATGTTTTGTAATCAAAAACATTTATTCCTATTTGGATCTTTATAACACGCCGAGGGCTAAAGATAAGAAGACAAACGTTGATTGATTTGATCAGTAATACAACATTCAGTCAGTAACACAATTAATTATTCAGTGTTAGATGCATCTTCTAACCACATAAATAGATAAAGTTAATAAAATTACGTCAAAATTTATACGGATACTATACTCTCTAAATACACATTTAATACGAGTTAAACTCTGGTTAACCTTTTTTGTGGTAAGACATATAATTTTGTCACTTTAGTACTTATTTCTAAGATCTCTTTAAGGAATTAATTTATACCCTCATCTATTATAATATATCACTGATAGGTACTCATTTACAAATTGAGAACAGGGTTGCAGATAAGTTGTCGTAAGTTGCAATCACATGATTATAATAAAATCGGACTCCAAATAATACGCAACACATCCGAAATCTACGACGATGAATATTGTTTTAAATGCGGTAGATAATATTATGAACTATTTCCACAGATTTAATAAGCGAGCTGGTAACGTCGCTGTCATTTTTTTGAGGACGCTAAATAAGCAAACTTATAGTCAGAAAATCCCAAAAATATACAGCTGTGGATATACGCGCTACAGCAGCGCTCTATCCGCGCTGAGATTTTTTTGGGAACTTTTCAAAATACTATAACAGCCATTGAACCGATCTTTTGACTTCTGTCGATTTTTAACCTACGTGTAGCCAGGACCAAAAGGACCTAAGTTGCATAGGCCAACAAAGTGGCGTCCGGTATGCGGACGTCAAAAGCTGGTGGACGCCAGATTAAATGCACTTTCGCCTTCATGGGACGTCCAAACGATTGCGGGATGTAAATATATATATATATATATATATATATATATATATATGTGTATATAAAAATCTAAGCAATTTTCACGGCGCGTTTTACCCCTGCGGCGGTTGCGATCGTTTGCGTCTACCGCTGCACGCCAGGCGCCGCAGCACGCAGGCTACCGACAGAAAACTTTTGAAGGCAAATCCTCCGCTAACGTAGGTCACCGGTGACCTACGCGGCAGTTAACGTGTTAATTTAAAACTTTAGACATGTATTTTTTTCTTTTCTCACAAAATTAAATACTTTCGACGATATATTAATTTGAAATATCGTGTGACATCACAGCGTGCCACATTTTGTAGCACGTTATGACGTAACAACCTTCCACTCTTAAACTTAGCATCTTATCAAGTTATTGCAACTTAATACGAGAAAATAAAAAAATACGTTTCTTATATTTTTTCATTATCTAACTGACGAACTAATTAGATCTTTAATTTTAATACCCTGGAAACTACAATTACAATTATCAAAAAAATATAATATCTTAGCACAGGTACGTACCACAGCCTACGTTAAGGGTCTAATCATAATGAAAGAATAGAAGCTAATAGGCTGATGAAGTATAGGCGGATGACGAAATAGGAAAATTGTAAGTCACGCAAACTTGTACTTTACGTTCTGCGTAGCAACGTCTTCATTCTGATAAATATTTTGTCATATAACCGTAACATATATGTTACCAATGACTCTTCATATTTCAGGAATTTTCCAGTTCAAAATAATTGACGTAAATTCCGTAAAATAGAAGATAGTTTTATATGTATAAAGCTAATGATGAAAACAAATGACATGCAGTTTAGAATCTTGTTGCCAACAGCTTATTTTTGTGAATGTATAGCGCGTCGCTTCAAACTTCCTTGTGCGTAGTCCTAAGGAGTGGAATTCTTTGCCAGAGTCTGTATTTCCTGAAGGGTATAAATCTGGGTGTCTTCAAGGCCCGAGTGAATAGGTTTGCTTATGGAACGACGTGCTCCATCGTAGACCGCATCATCGCCTACCACCAGGCGATACAGTGGACAATCGTCAACACATCAAATATAAAAAAAGAATTAATTTTACGATGTCAGTCACTTAATTCACTGTCATAATGTGCTACAGTGCTCATAACTAAATGCTTATAGCTATCACATCATAAAGTGGTTAGCTGTGGTGTTCAGGTACTCATTGCCATTCTTCTTGCAGCAGATTTTGTTGTGCACAATCGTTGATGTCAACCAGACTTAGTTACTGGAGGTTTTATCTGGTGCATCTAACAAATTGGTGACCTGCAGTGCTCTTGTTCCTTCAACCTAATTATGTTAATTGAAAAGTCACTTCAATTAACAGCCTGTAAGTGGCCACTGCTGAGCAAAGCCTCTTCCCGCACGGTGGAGGTTTGAGCATTAATCATCAAGTACATAAAACTTAAGAAAAGTCACATTGATACTTGGCCGTTGGCAGGTTTCGATCCCGCACCCTCGTGCATGAGAAGCTGGCGTTTCAAACCGGGACACCACGAGAAAGTCACTTATTCGGGCATACTGAAAGGATACTCAATTTTAAACTGTACTTAAATATGGTGCCATCTCTATTATTTTACAATGAATTCGTAGTGACAGAACTATACCTAAGCACAAAGTCATAGTATTTATTTCAATTAAATCATGATTTAGTACTTTTGAAACGTAAAAAAATACAAAATAAATAATAGGTAATCTGTCAGTCAGTCCAACAGTGAAGCTAGGTGAAGCTAGGTGCTCATTCCAAAATGTAGATTCGAGTGGAGAAGAACGAGCAAGAAACTCCAATCGTTACTCTTTTTAAAAAAGGTATGTTCTACAATGTCTCTTATACATATTCCAATACTGTACGTATATGTAAGAACAATGCAAAGACACACTTGACGCATTATACTAATTACAAAACTTACTAAAAAAAAACAAAACAAAACAAAAAAAAATCTTATAGTCTAACATGGTGCAACATAAAATTTTTATGTTTCAACATAACAATTTTATGTTGCATAATGACAGAAATAGTAAGAATACAACACTCAATCACAATAGACAGTCAACGAGACTAGTCAAACAGGGCGGAGACGTAGTAATTAATAATTCAAACATGTAGAGGTATATTTGCGAAGGTTATATGTATGTACATACATAGTAGGCGCACTCTTTGCTCCTTCGCTCTCCTAATCTGATGAGACAAAAAATCAACGACACCAGTTAAATAACTAATACTTTACATGTTCGTTCTTATATAATTATGTATACCGGTTTATAGCATGAGCTGACTAATAGTTGTGTGTATAACAATTTTTAACCGACTTCAAAAAAATACGAGGTTCTCAGTTTCACCTGAATGTATGTATGTTCTTGCGCGATTATCTCGTGATTCGCTGAACCGATTTTAATGCAGTTTTCAGAAAAGTATTTGTTACACTTTTTTTAAGTGGGAAAAATCATCGAATGGCTTGTCCCACCGAGGTGAGGCGGAAGGGAGTGTCAGACTCTTATTGACTAAAAACCACTCCGTTCCTACTCCTGCCCTTCGAGCCGTAGCCCCGATAACCCGTTAAGTTCTCCGTGGCTCCGTATCGGCATCAGCCCTATTGGGCCCCATCCGTGGTGGTCTGATGGCTCTTTCAGGCGCGCGCGGAACGCGACGCGCCACAAGCTCGGGTTGGTTCTGGTCGGGCGGCGAGCTACCCACGCTCGCCGTCCGCAAGCCCGTGCTTACGGTGGCCGGAGATCGTCCCGTGATCCCCGACGCCCGGAGTGTTCTTCGCGACGGCTGGGCTGTGAGGAGCCAGCGCATCGCTGCCTCATGCGCCCCCCCGCCTCCTCTTTAGCTAGCATAACTGCTTCGCAAAAGGAGGAGACGGCATCCCAGGCCTCTTTGCTCCGCATCATGGCCCGGACTAGTTTCAGACGCGAGAGGTCGCCGTCGCCGATCACATCCCTGAGAGCACGGCGATTCTCAGCCCACGCAGGGATTTGTTACACTAAGGAGAAGGTTTTTGTATATTAAGTAACAGACTTCAGAAAAAAGCATATATACGGTCGAATTGAGAATCTCTTCCTTTTTATGAAGTAATAATGATAAAAGAATTAGGTGTTTAATTATACTACTAATATTATAAATGCGAAATGTTTGTTTGTTTATTACTCCTTCACGTCAAAACGGTTGAAGGGATTGGGATGAAATTTAGAACAGCGGTAAATAATTATGGTCTGAAATAACGCAAGTGAAGCCGGTGGCAGAAGCTAGTATTTTAATGTTGTTCAATGTTTCTAACGTATTGTATAATAATCGTGACTTAGCACATTTTTAGCATCTATTAGAAGTGTCAGGTAAATTCCGAATATATCGATGAGATTAAAATAGATATGAGTCAGATAATCACACAATTTTTTGTGATTTATATGAACAGACTTGACGACCTCGACGTATATTGAAACGATAAGCACACCGTGACAGTCACATCAAAAGTTACAAGTACATTTTTAAAAATTAAAATTAATAATTTATTTCATTTTTATGAATGAAAAATAGTTTTATTTGAATAGTGAATAATTATAAATAAAAATGGCGGATTTGAAGCTTGTTTTGTTTGGAATTTTGTTACTGTTTTGTTCGTGTGAGGCGTACAAGATTTTAATTATTTTTCCTGTGCCCAGTACTAGCCATGGCATCCTTGGAGACAACATGGTTAAACATCTTCTGAATGCTGGACATGAGGTAACTATTTAACGATAACAACTAGATTTTGTGTTCTAAAAAAAGGGGGGACGGTAAAAAATATAAAATCTATACATAAGTAGATATGTAGAGAATATATATAGATTTTATAAATGATTTCTCTCAAAATTTCTGAAGTGAATTATTATAATTGGGTACACAGTTTTAATTATACGAGGTCATGACCGCTTGAGAAATAAACAAATATTGATGTAAACAACAAATGATTAAGTACGTCATAAGTGTGTTCAAAATACAGTGGGTTTTGGATGTGTATGTATGATATAATATACCATGAAATACGTGCTTAGTATAGATAGACTTATTTACAGAACAAACACTTTATTTTACTGTCAAAAACAAACTGAACTACATTCCTATGAATGTAGGATGTGTTAAGGATATAACCCTTCATAACCTTTCCATCAGCATAGTAATTTTATCTAATTCTTCTATTGATATTACATTACACGATACTTATTATGTAGTTGCCCACTTTCATTATGTTTTATCTATAGGAGCTGTATTTGCTATTTTAGGAGGGTTTATTCATTGATACCCATTATTTACTGGATTATCATTAAATCCATATATATTAAAAATTCAATTTTTTATTATATTTATTGGAGTAAATTTAACTGTTAAAGAATCTTTTCTTCAATTTCATTCTCAAGCTTTACCCTTAACATGTTAACCGCCGCGTAGGTCACCGGTGACCTACGTTAGCGGAGGATTTGCCTTCAGCAGTTTTCTGTCGGCAGTCAAAGGACTTTGGTTTAAAAAAACATTTTTTACAATTAATTTTTATTTATTACAATTTACATTCACAAATATATTATCAAATATATTATCTTGTGTTTGGATATTTGTCCGTCAATCACGCTGTGAAAGTAGTGAACTGATTTGGCTGAAATTTTTGTATACAAATTTTGGTGTATATGCCGGGTATGGGCTGACTTTAGGTGATAGTATACTTTTCATAACAAACATAACATCACGACTCAACATCAACTTTTATCCCCGAAGGGGTAGGCAGAGATTCACAATATACCACTTTCCAATGTAACACCCACTTTTCACTATTTATGTTATGAGTCCCATGTAATAGAGGGTGAGCCTATTGCCATATACCGGGCACAATTCCAGAATCCATGCTACTACTGAGAATATTTAAAAAACCCAGTAATACTTTGTCCGACCCGGGAATCGAACCCGAGACCCCTTGCCCCGGCAGTCCCACTTACGACTACTTGGCCAACGAGGCAATCAATATACAACAATATACTTTTCATCCCGATTAAATACTCCCATAGGATATTACAGGAATCATATTACACGAACAAAGTTGCTGGCAACAGCAGTTAATAATTATAACACAAAACTAAATTATTAAAATTTACAATCAATAGATAGACTTATCTTAATTAATGTGAAGGTATTTGAATTATCAAATGAACGCACTCGTAACGTGATTATGATAAAAATGTTCAAATTTTCAAACGTTTTTGTACAAAAATGATATTACTCATATTTTACTTAAATAAAAAAGAAATGTAATATCTGTCTTAGCTATTTATTTCATCAAAGGGTTTATTTTTCTCCCCTTGTTGTTAGTTTTTAGAAGCCTCTTTGGAATATATAGATACAAACTAACGACCCGCCCCGGCTTCGCATGTTTGCAATATGTATGTATTATACATATAAACCTTCCTTAAGAATAAAAAACCGCATCAAAATCCGTTGCGTAGTCTTAAAGATCTAAGCGTACATAGGGACAGACAGACGGCGGATAGCGACTTTGTTTTATACTATGTAGTGATAGTGATAATTATCTTTTGTTTTCAGGTTACATACATAACTCCTTTTATTAATAAGAAGAAGTATGATCATCCAAATCTGACAATAATAGATGTGTCTGCTAATGAAGAACATTTTGATGGTGAGTGCCAACATAACTTGAAACTCTTTGAAATAAGCGGAGATGAGAATTATGATAGATAAATTAATATTACAGAGAAATTCTCGAAAACTGATCATAGGAAACTGACGTGAAGTAACGCTTGCGTTGTGTTTCGTCATGTAAGAGGTTATCGGAGGCCCAATGATCCCCCCTCCCCAATCTCTCCAATCCATGAATCCCCAACCATCCTCAAACTCCTAATCCACAAAATCCCCAAAAGGCCGGTAACATACTTGTAACGCCTTTGGCGTTCCAGGTGTCCATGGGCGACGCTGATTGCTTACTATCAGGTGATTCAGGGTTCCGTCTGCTCGTTTACCGACTTGTCCAATAAAAAAAAAACAAACGATCTTTTGAACTCCAAATTAACTTTGAGCATATTACTAAAAATATAACAAAACTGACACATTTAAAACTTTACATGTTCTTAAATGGGGTCTCGAGAATACAGGGTGTAGGTACAGCTTGGCTGAAAAGAGCTTGACGCGGTGACAGCTGGTTTCACTGAATCACCCACTTCAGACCATATCATAAAAACAATCATCCGAACATATCTCCTCTATTTTTTAAACTAGATAAAAATAGCAAAAATATTAAAACTGGTTGGGTCGTTGCCACAGGTACGATACTAGCGACGTCAATTATTTCAAATTCTGTTTTGTCTGTGGCGACACAAGGTACATATCAACGAATGACGTCACAAAAATCCTACATCGCACATGCAAAGTTTACATACAAATTAACACGGATAGAAAATCCCAACGAACAACTGTCGGGCAGAAAGCCCGCCAGGCACGATCACCTCGCCTGGTCGGAGGATCCTCCTTTTCCGATCTTAGGGAACTATACTCTCTGTTCCCTAAATGCCTATCTCATTGATAAAAATGTTTTTGCAGAAAATCTAACGAACATACAGATGATTATGGAAGGCAAACTTGACTTCAAGGACCCTATACTAATGACACAGCTCGCAATTATGATGGCTTCATCCACACTTGGCAATCCAAATATCCAGAAATTCTTGAAAGACCCAAATCAACAGTTTGATGTCATCATTGGAGAATACATGTTCTCTGATATGTATTCCGTGTAAGTTAAATTTTGAATTTTATAGTTCCAAAAAACAAGCTTAATATTCAAAAAATGGCCTATTTTCTGTAACATTGCATTAAGTAGTTAGTCTAATAATAAATGATCCATGTTTCACCAAGTGCTATCATTTAAGACTAGAGACGATAATAAATAAAAAAGTATATTGAGTTGATAAAAGAATACAATAGTTGCCAGCTATTTTACTAAACAATTTTCAGAGCTGTAAGATGATTGGTACAGCCTGTATTAATTTAACAATACATAACATAACACAACATCACGCCGCAGAGGTGCACATTACAACACGTTATGCCACTGTACAATGTAACACCCACTTTTCACTATTTATTTTATGAGTGCCATGTAATGGGCAGTAATAGGTGAGCATATTTCCAAATACCGGGCACAATTCCAGACTCCGTGTTACTACTGACAATTTTTTATAAAAACCTATTGGAATAAGGAATCGATCCCGAGACCCCTTGCCCGGCAATCGCACTTACAACCACGCGGCCAACGAGGCAGATTAATTCACTATAGCTACCTACTTAATATTTGTTACAGGTTTCAAGCGGTATTCCAATGTCCTTTAATCTGGTTCTCAACAATACAGCCGCATTGGGCGATTCTGAAGATGGTCCATGCACCTCTGAACCCTTCATACAACAGTGACTATATCATCGGCAATGTGGCCCCATTCACCTTTAATGAGAGAGTTTATGAACTGTGGGTCCAATTAAAAGGATTGTATTATCATAAATAGTAAGTATTTTACCGATCGCCATTTTAAACTGACCTTATAGAATATTTAACATAGGTCAATTAAAAATCGACTATGAGCCCTGTTGACAAAAGTCAATTTCAAGACGTCATTATTTAGCCACGCTATTTACAGAAATAACCCTTCATACATCAACAGCCTATAAGTGCCCACTGTTGAGCAAAGCCTCTTCTCACACAGAGAAGGTTTGAGCATTAATCACCACGCTTACTCAATGCGGGTTGGCGATTTCAAACTTTTAATTAGAAATTATAAGTCCAGGTTTCCTCATGATGTTTTTCCTTCACCATTTGTCAGTGGTGTCTATATAATCTTAGAAAGTACATATAACTCTGAAAAAATCACATTTGTACTTGCCGTTGGTAGGTTTCGTACCCGCACCCTCATGCATGAGAAGCGGGCGTCTTAAAGCTCCGGGTCACCACGACAAATAACCCTTAATAAAACCAAATCAACCTAAAAGCTACGGAATCTTTATTACAATCGCAATCGATGGCACTCAAAGGGAACAGTTTATTTGTCATTTCCTACTAGATTTTTCCCGCAACTTCCCAACAATTCCGTTTTTTCTCATGCCCGCAGGATTTTAGACAAATCCTTAGCACAAAACTATCCTGTATCCGTGCCCTGGTTCTAAAGTAATCCTCTCCACTAATATACAGCCAAATCAATTCAGCTGTTCTCGAATTATAAATAGTGTTAACTCACACGACTTTTTTTATATAATTACTAGGTTTTACCCGCGGCTTCGCTCGCGTCACAAAAGGATAAAAAGTAGCCTATGTGACACATACCAATACACACAGCGCCATCTATACCAATAATTTCGTTTTCCCTCGAGAATATCAAATTTTTCCGGGATAAAAAGTACCCTATTATTTAATCCAGACTTCTAAATTTACATCTGCAAAAATTTAAAGCAGTCGGTTTAGTAGTTACGGCGTGAAAGCGGAACAAACAAACAAACAAACTCACTTTCCGATTTATAATATTCAATTCAATCAGATCAATATATAGTTATATAATATCAGATTCAATTGAACCAAGTAATATAAACCCTGACAAAGACTGGAATTTTAACAGATGTGATTTTTAAACAATAAACAATATTAGTAAGGATATAGATTTAATAGTGATATTTAATGCTCTTCTAACCCATTTCAGTATCAATCCTGGTCCAGAGGAAAAAATATACTCAGAACTCGTAGCGCCAATTCTGAAAGCTCAAGGAAAGCCAGTACCTAACTATGAGGAACTCAAATATAACGCGTCTTTAGTATTAGGCAATTCGCAAGTGGTATTTGGCAACCCTGTACCTTTACCACCAAACTACCAGCATATCGGAGGCTACCATATTGATGAAGATGTTAAGCCTTTACCAGAGGTAAGCGTAGAATATAAGTAGGTATAGAATAATTACATAACATAACATCACGCCTTTTATCCCTGAAGGGGTAGGTAGAGGTGTACATTATGTCACTGTACAATGTAACACCCACTTTTGACTATTTATGTTATGAGTCCCTTGTAATAGGGGTTGACCCTTTTGCCAACAATTCCAGACTCCGTGCTACTACTGAGAATTTATAAAATCCAGTAATACTTTGCCCGTCCCGGGAATCGAACCATACACCCCTTGCCCGGTAGTCTCACTTGCGACCTCTCGGCCGACGAGGCAGTCAGCAGATAGAACAAATATAGATATATTTATTGTTTATTGTGTATAGATTTGTTTCTATGGCTCCAATTGACAAAGAGCGCAAAAGAAAACGAGTTGACAATATAACATATTTTTTTTTAAATAAAAAACGTTGCCCCACACTAGGATTTTCTCCTGTGTCGTGGGTGCGTTTACAAACATACAAGTTCACATACAACTAGGTAACTTAAAATTAATTAAAATACATTATATTTTCCAGGATCTGAAGAAGTTAATGGATAATGCCAAAAACGGTGTCATTTACTTCAGTCTTGGATCGAATGTCAAAAGCAAAGACTTGCCGGAGAGCATGAAAGAAGGTCTCTTAGAGTTGTTTGGAAAACTCAAACAGACAGTTATTTGGAAATTTGAAAAGAATTTGGACAATACGCCTAAGAACGTGCACATAGTGCAGTGGGCACCGCAGCAGAGTCTGTTAGGTAAGTAATAGACATAACGTCACGCCTTTTATCTCCGAAGAGTTAGGAGGGGCGCATTATGTCACTGTACAGTGTAACACCCACTTTTGAATATTTATGTTATGAGTCCCATGTAATAGGGGGTGAGCCTATTGCCATATACCGATCACAATTCCAGACTCCGTGCTGCTACTGAGAATTTTTTTAAACCCAGTAATACTTTGACCGACCCGGGTATCGAAACCGAGACCCCTTGCCCGGCAGTCACACTTGCGATCACTCGGCCAACGGGGCAGTAAGTTATAGCTCTCGATAAAATGAGTATTAAATAAGTAAATGTCATTTACAGACGATGATATTATCACGCCCGAGTCCCGAGTTAGCTTTAAAAAAATAATTTTTAATGCTACTCGGGACCTTGCTAAGAATCATTTTTGGGACCGTTGTAATTTTTCCATACATGGACATAAATAATTATGATTAAGTGTATGCACTTGGGTCAGAAACTCTAAAAATATAAATTCTAAAAATCTCAAGAATTGTTATTAGTTAAGATTAGAGAGCCAAACGTGAGATCTAGATACTCTAATAATCGTAATTTCCAAAGATCAAGTAACACAATTGTAAAATGGAACATAGCCTGACTTTTATTATCTAATTTGAATTTTCTCTTTTCTTCCAGCTCACCCAAACCTAGCACTGTTCATATCACACGGCGGTCTTCTATCAGTCACTGAAGCTGTCTACTTCGGCAAACCTTTCATTGCCATCCCAGTCTTCGCTGACCAGTTCCTCAATGCCAACAGCTTCCAGAAGATGGGTGCAGCTGTTAAAGTGGATCTTACTTACAATTTACATAAGGACTTGGAAGTTGCTTTGAATAAAGTTCTTCCAGAACTTCCGAAGTAAGCAACTTATAATAATGTTTTGTTGGACAATGGATTCCAATTTATTTAATGCATAACATCATAACATCACGCCTTTTTACCCCGAAGGGGCCGGCAGAGGTGTTACATTACGACACTTAATGCTACTGTACAATGTTGCCCCCAATTTTCACAATTTATGTTATAAGCCCCATGTAATAGGGGGTGAGCCTATTGCCATATACCGGGCACATTTCCAGACTCCGTGATACTACTGAGATTTTCAAAAACCCAGTAATCCTTTGCCTGACCCGGGAATCGAACCCGAGACCCCTTGTCCGGCAGTTGCACTTGTGACCACTCGGCCAACGAGGCATTATCGTTATCAAATTTGACAACTAAATGCGTCTAATTTCTGTACTTACAGGTACACAGCAAGAATAAAGGAGATATCTGCAGCATACCACGACAGTCCGATGAAGCCAAAAGACGCGTTGAACTTCTGGGTGGAGCACGTGGTGCGCACGCGCGGCGCCCCACACCTGCGCTCAGTGGCGCTACTAGTACCGCTTTACCAGCAAGCGTACCTAGATCTGTTAGCTGTAATACTGGCAGTTACTGTTGTTATATTACTAGTGATTAGAAGAATTTTAAGTTTATTTACATCAGAGAGTCCTAAACTGAAAAGGAATTGAAATGCTCCAAATATTGTACAAATACCTACGTAACTTTACATGAAGTGCGTTTAAGCATGGATCTTAAATTTGAACAGATTTCAATGGTGATGTATCTAAGTCGTAGGCCACGAATGCAATGAGCGGAAAAAACAATCATATGGGTGGACCGGGTGGGGTACGTTGGAGCGACTAGCAGTCCCCATTCAACCACCATGATTATTTTGCGCATGCGACTAATGCATACTGGAGGAAGTTCAGTGAATAATCTCGCGTATGCTTAATGGAACTTGACCATATCTAATGACCTATAAACTTTTTAATAATACTGTTAAACAATGGTGACTGATACGAAGATGATAATGGACGTGCAGTTTTTCTCGATCCATGCTTGAACAAATTAATTATAACTTATTTTGTGTGCTAATGTGATTTGTAGAATTAAAGATTTAGTTAAGTTTGCGTGTATTGGAGTTTTAAGTGATATTATTTTTTAGTAACTATGTCATGATCATGAAGCAGATACAAAGTGATTGACTGATACATTATGGTAACTGAATTATATTTATGTGTGTTTTAATTTTTGTTGTTCTCATTTAATTCTCTATCTATATTCAGCTTGGACAATGACTACGTAAGCAAGTTTGCATAATGCACATTTAAATTCTTATGATAGAGGTAATGACTTACGTTGGTTACCACTACTGTGGTTTCAGTTATGAATACATGTGTTATTTAAAGTTTATTTTAATTAATAGGTACCTAATTAGAGGTTGTAATTAAGTTAGTAAAAATATTTAACATATTGTATAAACAAGACACTAAATTATTATCAGTTAAGTTTTAAGTCACATTGTAATAATTCTTGCCTAAAATCTTAAGAAAACTAAAATCATATCTTTTATTAATCATTTTAAAAATGATTATTTTGTTTTTGATAATATAGAAATTCGAGGACCAAGTGTAAGGAGCCATGCTCGACCAAAGTGATACCACGGCCTCCCAGAAAATCATAGTGAAAGAACGCTTGCATTGTGTTTCGTAGTGTGAGTGAGGTTACCGGAGGCCCAATCCCCGCCTACCCAATCTCTTCAATCCCTGAATGCCCAACAATCCTCAAATTCCTAACCCCTAAAAGGCCGATAACGTTTTTGTAACGCGTCAGCTGTTTCGGGTATCCTTGGGCGGCGCAGATTGCTTACCATGGTGCTCTGTCTGTTTATTTACCGGCTTATCCCATTAAACAAAAATCAAACGTTCGCTTTGTAGGGCACAAAGAGAACTTTTAGTTTTTAGTTTTCTAATAATTTCGTATTACGTATTCACCATTACCATCGTATCAGCCACAGAATATCAGCCATAGGACATCCACTACTGAACCCTGAACAAGGGTCACCCCGAAAGACTTCCAGATAGGTTGGAAGGCACATAGCACGGAGAGGGAGAACCGACGGCTGCTGGGGCAGAAAGATTCTCGAGTTTCTCGAATAGAAGACATGTATTCACAAGCAGTTTATCATTAGTTATATTATTAATCTAACTCAAAACGATACTCTCCAAACGTGTATTACTAGACATGTGCATTAGTAGGTACTAGAAATCTAATCAGTACTCAGGTATTCACGTGCACGTCCACTTATAAATTTTAACTTTATATACGTACATATAATTGTATATGGCAATAATAATTACGTATAAAAAACCGAGTTTCAGCTTCTCTGTGTTGAAATCAGTTAATTAATAAATTAAAGCCTTTTTAAGCGTAACAAACACTTTTCTGAAAACCGTATCAAAGTTGGTTCAGTCAATTGCGAAGTAATCACACACATATACAGGGTGTTTCTTGTAAGGTGTCAAGCCCCCACTAGCTGGTAGCAAGGTTCCATACCTATCGATTTTACCCCCATTTATTTATGATGATTACGGCTTTAAAAGAAAATGAAAAGTTGAACCAAAAAAAGGTGCAATTATGTAAAGCCTAAAAAATAACGAATATCTCGAAAACTACAAAAAATCGTAGAACATACATGGGGGTTAAATCGATAAGTATGGAACCCTGCTACCAGCTAGTGGCGGCTTGACACCTTACAAGAATCACCCTGTATAAATACATACACACATGCATATAGGTCAAACTGAGAACCTCCTTTTTTGAAGTCGGTTAAAAGTAATCCGAGGTTTATTTAAAATCATTTATAATTTGATACCTTCTCGATATTGTCGAACCATTAGAAGTGAAAATACTGTAGCAAAACGAGTGTTGAATTTAACTCCTGAACAAAAAGGTAGAGGATGACCAAAGAAACCATGATGATGTAAGTGTGGGAGAGCCATGCTTCGGCATGAATAGGCCGGCTCGACCGGAGTGATACCACGGCCTCACAGAAGACCAACGTGAAACAACAATGTGTTGTGTTTCGTCGTATGAGTGAGATTACTGGATGCCCAATTACCCCCCCGCCCCCCATCCCTTTCCCCAATCCATGAATCCCCAACAATCCTCAAAGTCCTAATTCCAAAAGTGTATGAACAATGACATAATTATGTAACTGAATGGAGTTTGTGATAAGTACCTAAACGTCTAATAGAGGTTAATGGAAAAGGAGACTTATTGTGTTGTCCTCCTGTTGAAGAAGAATAACTATACTGCCAGCAAATATGACGTAGATAAATGTTTGCTTAACGTACCACGTAAATGCACTTTAGTGGTCAAACGTCGGCCCATCCCAAATAAATCCATTTTCCTTAGCCACAGCATCACGTGTGAGTGGCTGAACCGATTTCACTAATTCATTTTTTGTTGTATTTATTAACATTAGAAGAAGGTGTGTTTACGGGAACGGGAGAAAACGAGATTGCGCATACGAAGTCGCGGGCAGAAGCTAGTATACTGTAATAAAACCTAACCATTAGAAGGAAACAAAATGTTAATAAAAAATCCAAAACAAAACACAACTAAAACAAAAAACTAGGAAATACATAGGTAGTCTGTTGAATAGGATATCTGGTCGATAGTTGTTCTAACTTTAGCAATCAAAAGGATGGCATTACGACACTAAGACATGAGTATTTGTAAGATATATATAATGTGTTAAGTGGTGAATAAAGTACTGCACCGTGTATGTATCGAGTAATTCTTAGGGCAGGTAAATTCTTTTTTGGTTTTTTCAATCGAAATCACGACAAGTCAAGATAAGTAAATTGTGCAGGTATAATTTGTATGAAGACGATATTTTAAATCAATGAAAGGCGATATAATAACTTTTTTTAGAATAAAACACTTACATTGATAACACAATTAAAAAAAATATGTTGCCCCACACTATAGTTTGCTCCTGTGTCGCGTTTACACGCATACAAGTTCATAAACACATGACACCAAGACCCAAATAAAAGTTTATGGTATACACAAACAATGGCCAAACTAAAAATAATATTTTTAATTAAATTAGTAAATGGACGTTAAAATATTTAATTAGTCTACTATAGACAAACATTCATTCGAATGAGAAAATGCACAACTGTGTTCGATTAACGAAAAACTATTTGAGTAATTCAGAAAATGTTGACATGCGTTTTATTTCTATCGATATGCAATTCAATAATAGATATATCTATGTATCGAAGCTATTTCGATGAGATCGTGTTTACAAGAACAAAGCATTCTGAGGGTAATTAAATAGACATTATAGTTCAAACAGATAAACGCATCGTCAAGAAATAGTCGGTCATTCTAAATTTAAACACAGTCGCATGGTCACTTTGCTTCGTATGTGACCGCTTGAATATACAACAGACGAGACATAACGTACAATTTTAAATTTCGAATGAATTCTGTGATAATTTAATTTTAATTTTATTTATGAATTAATTAGTTACCTAGTCTATTTTTTATAATAAGCATATTTTGTTCGTTGTAGGATTTTGGTGGTCTGTATTTTGAAACAATGGAAAAATTAAAATATATTTTGATTTGTGTCCTTATAAGTTTGTGTTCATGTGATGCTTACAAGATCTTGGCTGTGTTCCCTGTACCGAGCCCCAGCCATGGGATTCTTGGAGACAATATGGTCAAACATCTTCTAAATGCTGGACATGAAGTAAGTAGTAATAAATAATGTTAATTTCCTCCCATGTAATAATTTTTGGGTTGTTTTTTAAATTACAGATACGTAAATAAAGTGTATACATATAGTTAAGGACTGTATTTTGTACACACCACACATGTTTGTGATACACAAAAAAGAATTTTGAATTTTGAAAATTTGAAAACATTTTTAAATAAATACCTAGGAGATAAATAACTCTAATTTCAATTTTATAATCTTGCTTCAATTTTGTAACCCCATCCACGATTACGAGTAATTTTAAAATCTGAACAAATTCAGCGATGCTACCAGTCAGTAAGATAGAGCCGAAAAAAAAATTAAAAAAAAACGCAGAGGTCTGTTTAAAAAAATCTAACAAAAAAGTTTCTAGTAAAAATTACATAGCATCAGACAAAACGAAAATAGAAGAATACTGGTTTAAAACAGTTGTACTAAAATTTCCATAAAATTTTTTAATGATTGTGCAACTCATTTGTAAATTGCCCGTATAATATAATACAAAAATAGACTCAAGTATACCTACACCACATTGTGTACATATATACAGTAATTATTTCAGTACAAAGATAGATATAAAGGTAGAAACAAAGATTCTGAAATGAAAACAATTGAAATGGTGTGAAAGGCATGTATGTTCCAGTGTCACGAATCCCATGCATTTTTTAAATTGTATACGATAAGTATATGATAGATAGAAGGCAAATTATTATTATTATTATTTATTTATCTGCCTGCCTCGTTGGCCGAGTGGTCGCAAGTGCGACTACCGGGCAAGGGACCTGGGGGGTAAAGACTTAATGGGTTTTTAAAAAAAAATCTCAGTAGTAGCACGGAGTCTGGAAATGTGCCCGGTATATTGCAATAGGCTCACCCCCGATTATATGGGAGTCATAACATATATAGTCAAAAGTGGGTGACCGGGTTACCGGGGCTCCGGCTCGAAGTGCAGGAGAAGGAACGAGGTGGTTCTCCCAGGCGGGAGAAGTCATTCGAAGACTTTCGCCCCTTAAAAAAAATTCTATTTGAATTCGTTTCGCTGCGTATGTCTGCCGGCAGACTATTCAATTGATATGGTATTCTCTTTTTTCTCTACGTCCATATTAAGTAACAATTCGTTCCTCCACAATCGTTCATGCTAAGTAAACTTTTTTAACCTATTGAGGACCAAAAGCATTAATATATATATGACGAAGGTGCCAACAATAATGATTTTTTGCACATTGAACCCCGAAATCAAAGGCGAAACTTTTTATAGTTGTCAATATATAATTCGGTATTTCAAGTTCGTACATAAATATTTACTTATGACACGAATACCTATGTATGTATGTTGTGTATGTACATAAGTATGTAGGTAGCTTTACCACATACATATGTCTCCATGTTTTACCATTTAACAAAAACTTCATCACGAGTGTAGAGGTAAATACCAAATAGGAGTTTTCTGTCTCTAGACGTCTCAGGTACTGCAATGTCGAAAATATGTAAGATTTGTTTATACATATAACATAACATCACGCCTTTTTATCCCCGAAGGGGTAGGCAGAGGTGCACATTTCGGCACTTAATGCCACTGTATAACGTAACACCCACTTTCACTATTTATGTTATGAGTCCCATGTAATAGGGGGTGAGCCTATTGCCATATACCGGGCACACTTTTCCAGACTCCGTGCTACTACTGAGATTTTAAAAACCCAGTAATACTTTGCCCGACCCGGAAATCGAACCCGAGACCCCTTGCCCGGCAGTCGCACTTGCGACCACTCGGCCAATGAGGCAGTCATACATATATTTAGGTATATTAATATTTTGGTATGTCCATTGTCCTTTGTTTAGCATAACTTTTTCCTTTTTACTCATTAATAAATACACATATTATATTAACTCTATAGGCCATAGGATAATAACATTATGTTTGTCTTTTACATACCTATACAAACAAAATAATTCCGCGACTGATTGTGTCGAGTAATACAAGTCATCATTATGTGTGTCTTAGAATATTACTATAATTTACTGTCATTATTTTAAAAATGTAGAACATTAGATATAATCAACGCTATTTGTACCTAATTACAATAACAAGCAAAAAGTGTAATAATAAAGCATAATCGTGTTAGTCGAATAGTTGCAGGCGCCATTTTTATCGCCACTGTCTCGCCAGGTGGTAAGCAATGATGCGGCTTACGACAGAGTATGCCCACCTTTAATCGATCTATTCACTAGATTCTAGAAAATACCCATATAGTTAATGAAACACCAACACTGGCAAAGAATTCAAGTCGAAGCGAAACGCATTATGCGTATAGACAAAATTAGTATGTACATTAAAGCGGTTTGCGGTAGCGCATTCGGCAAGACTGCACTTGAAATAGCTCGATCAACGAAGCTGTTCAAATCTATTTATGAACTTCTTAGTGCAAAACATGTTTTTGCTCCCATGTGACTTCATTAAGTTATAAGTTTTCGCTCGTGGAATCAAAAGATAAATATGGATTTAGATCCATGGCTCTCCCACACTTAGAAGGCACGAATGGGCCGGCTCAACCGGAGTGATACCACACAGAAAACCGACCTGAAACAACGCTTGCCAATGCAAGCGTTATACGACGACGTTACATGACGACGAATTATCTCACCAAGTTACTGGACGCCCAATTATCTCACCACCGCAATCTCTCCAATCCTAGAATCCCTAAATTCATCCCAAAAGGCCAGTAACGTGGTTGTAACGCTTCTAGTATTTCGGGTGTCCATGGGCGGCGCCGATTGCTTACCAACAAGTGATACCGTCTGCTTGTTTACTGGCTTATCGGTAGTAGGTAACAAGCATTAGGACCGATGAAAGTTATAAATAGTAACTTGAATGACAAATCGAGTTATCTCTATACACAAAAACATGCTATAAAAACATTCCATCGCGACGAGACACAACGACAAAAATGCATACTTTTAGCATTTAAATTTATAATTTAACACATATTCGCCAGTTACCTTTTGTTATGTAAATATTCTCATTCAATGATGTTCACTTCCCGACTCTATGTTATAACGTCAATAAGATCTATTAAATATGAATGTTAAACGGACTGTATCAATATATTGATAACCCCAATAGTACCTCGATAAAGTGCTACATAATGTTGTATTTACAAGATAATATTGAATGAATGTCTCAATTATTCTGTTACTATCCAGAAGGTAAACATAACGTTGACCTTTTTATTTCCGGAGTCGCGTAAGATTTAACAGGAGTAGGAATAGGTTTTAGTCAGTAAGAGTCTGACACTCTCGCCTCACTCACGGCGGAAGAAGTAATTAGATGATTTTCTCCATTAATAAAAAAGAAGCGGCGTTCTCTAAAAAACCTTACGTTTTCAAGCTCTGATATTGTACGGTCAATGATCAAAAGTCCACTGCCACCGTAAGACTACTATCGGTTGCGCTGCAGCGCTTATACACACATGCACATGCATATTTTTATCCGTGTACGTGCGCGTGTGTGTGTTTATGCGTATGCACGTGTTTTTATGCACATTAATGTGAAATTACTTACGCACTGCCGTGTGAACATCACTCACGGTGGCAGTGGACTTTTGACCTTTGACTGTTCATTCACTTGCCCATGCACTTATGGTAAAGCCCTGTTTTGTAAAGGAGTTTCATACTCCAGCAGTGGACTGTTGAGCTGTGATGTAATGAGACGTAATTTTACTTACAGGTAACCTACATAACGCCTTTTGCTAGCAGACAGAAGAGTAATCCAAAACTAAACATAGTGGATGTCACCGATCATCACAGTTTTTTTAATCGTGAGTATGTTGGATTTTTATTTCCAATTTACCAACACCCAAATATTATGAAAAAAAACCCTTAATTTTTGCTTTTAGCATCATTCATGGTACACTTGTCAAAGTCAAAGCATTTATTTCAATTAAACCATAATTTGGTACTTTTGAAACGTCAACAAATACAAAATAAATAATAGTCCATCAGTGAAGCTAGGTGAAGCTAAGTGCTGATTCCAAAATGTAGATTCGAATGGAGAAGAACGAGCAAGAAACTCCATTCGTTACTCTTTTTTAAAAAGTATGTTCTACGATGTCTCTGATACATATTATAATATCTGAGAACAATGCAAAGACACGCTTGACGCATTATACTAATTACAAAACTTACTAAAATAAAAAAAAAACAAATACAAATATTTGTCTACAAGAACGTTTTGTTGATAAAACCTTTAAACGGTGATGATGTTGATGGCTCATGACTAAGATTGGCACAATAGCTAAATGAAGAAGGATAATAAATTAGCCATGATGATTATTTATATAATCAACAGATATAATTTTAGCTCACAAAACTATAAACAAAAGGAAAATAAACTTTTATGGTCTAATTATTTAAATTTACTCGGAACCTATGCTTCTTTCAAAGATGCAGATAATGTCATCCAAATGTTTCTATTTTTAAACTAAATGACATATAATAAAAGGTCACTTATTGACCCACTTCTTTTTTAATAGCGGACGTCTTGGACATCACGCAGATAATGACAGGGGCAGTGAACTTCAAGGACCACAACGTCATATTTTCCATGATGGTGCACATAGCAACAATGACGCTAGGACATGAGAATGTCCAGAAGCTTATGAGAGATCCACAACAGAAGTTTGATGTCATCATCGGCGAATATATGTTCGCCGATTTGTATTCCACGTAAGTTACTCATTTATACAGGGCGTAAACGGAACGCCGTCTAAGAACAACGACAAATGATGTTAAAAAACAAGTTCAAATTTCTTAAAAGTAAGGAAATAAATGTATCTTTTATGTACCAACTAGCTGTTGCCCGCGACTTCGTCTGCGTAGAACAATGACTTCTGGCAGATTTTGGCTTTCGAATTAGTCTTTATCAAGGGATATTCTACGGTGAAAAATGTGCGTTTATAAACATACAAGTTCACATACACAATGACACCCAGACCCGAAACAACAATTTGTGAATCATACAAAGTGTCCTGTGCTGGAATCGAGCCCGCGACGCGTTGCACAGCAGCCGGTTGCCCAGCCACCGCACCAACCATGCAGTCGATTTGCAATTGATTCAGTACCTAGTATAGGGCTCCCCCCTGTAGATGATAGCGTGATAATATGTAGCATATATGTTGACCCAACATGTTAGTAATATTCATGCAAAATTTGAAGTTAATCCATGCAGTACTTTTGAGATCATCCCGGACATACATACAGACAAACAGACAAAAATCTAAAAACCATATTTTTGGCTTCGGTATCGATTGTAGATCACGCTCCAAGTATTATTTAAAAAAAAAATTAAAAGTAATTTGTAAAATATGACTTTTCTACGATTTTATTATATGTATAGATATATAGATAGATAGTCGTAATCACAGAACATATAAAAGTTGCAATTAACCGCACAATGATATTGCATGAATAACGTGTATGAAAAACCGTGCAAATTCTAGCAGAAAAAAAAATTACCGCTGGAAATCAACAGGATGAAAAGCTAACTAATGTAGCACTGCACTGTATTGCAACTGCGTGGTTGGCGCGATGGTTAAGCAACCAGCTGCCGTGCAATCCCCGCACGGAACAACTCTTTGTGTTTGTATTGTAACTTTCGTGAGATATACTAAATAAATTATTATGTTTTCGGCTTACTCACGTAATAATTTGACGAGGAACTCGACTAGTTTCAAGCCATGCTAGAGGCTCATATTCATGAACAGCATTTCGCGACCCGCGACGGGGAGACTGAGGCGCTGCTACTGGCTACTCGAGTCTACGGGCCCAGCGCGCCCTCTGCTGTGATTCACGCGCACTTCTCTCTTCGAGTCGAGTTCCTCGTCAAATTATTACGTGAGTAAGCCGAAAACATAATAATCAACTCTTTGTGTATCCACAAATTGTTGTTTCGCGTCTGGATGTCAAGTATGTGTGAAATTCTATGTTTGTAAATGCACCCACGATGCACAGGACTAAATCCTAGAATGGAGTAATGATTTAAAAAAAAAACATTTTTAAAATCTGAGAACACCTTGGGTATTTTTAAAATTTTTGTTTTGTAATGTTTTCCTATATCTGTTTATCTATTCATGTGAAGTCGATGCATAATAATTTGTATTCAAACGATTTACGACTGCTTAAAGGTCAAATCCGTTTATTTTGAATAATGTCGTTTGAGATAGCAAATACTATAGCTTATTGACTTTAATACAATTTGAAAATATAGTTTTAGACTCTAGAATCGAAACTAATATAATAAACCAAAAATAAAAGGAAAGCATTAGATATCTATGTAAAAATAGCTAGCGATGGTTATGGCAGACCCTTTGACACAATTTAAAAAATGATTCCTGATATTAAAGTAATACCTAAATGTCAGAAAATCAAATGCAATAAAAATAGCCCTTTTCGGTGCTATTCTACATACATACTTAACTTCACACCTGTCTCCCATGGGAGTAGGCAGAGACTAGGGAACGCCAATTACAACGATTCTTACATACCTCTTTCGCTTCATCAACAGTCATCAATCTTTTCGCAAGCTCGTCGGTTAAGAGTACTTTTAATTTGGCCCTTCTTTAATATATCGCCAATCTGGTCACTATATGTACGTCTAGGGCGCCCTCTACCGACGGTCCCATTCATAATCTCTCCAAGAATAAACATTTTAAACATTTGGAAACGAGCACTAATTATTTCTTTAGCAACAACAGACAAAACAAATGGATTTTTAAAATTGTTACATTTGAATCACACTTAGACTTCATCATTTTCAGATTCCCAGCAGTATTCCAATGCCCTTACATCTGGTTTTCAACAGTTGAACCACATTGGATGGTTGTGAACCTGGTTCATAGTCCAATGAATCCAGCCTATAATGGAGACTACATGTATGCAAGTATACCTCCTTTCAACTTCATGCAAAGAGTCCAGGAATTGTGGCGGATATTGATTGGACTTTATCGGCACAACAAGTAAGTAATGAATGCAACTGATGAGGTGAATAAAATGATTATAAATGATTGGAAGTAATTTTAAAAAATATTTCCTATTACTTACAGAATAGGACTCATAATGATATTTTAGTACAGCATGACAAAATAGAATTTGGAATAATTGAGGTCACTAGTATCGTATCTGTGGCAACGTGGCATAATACGACTCCATCGGTTTTGATATTTGTTATTTTTGTCAAGTTTAAAAAGAGAAGGTACTTTATTCAGTGCAAATCAATATTAGTTCCATCTGTCACCCCGTCAAACTCTTTATAGTCAAGCTATATGTATGTATCACAAAAAGCGTTTTAAAAAAATGTTCGTAGGTCTAAAGAAGTCAAATTTTTATTCATAATACTAGGGTAAAGCTAGGTGCTCATTCCAAAATATAGATTCGAATGGAAAAATTTCCATTCGTTACTCTTAAAAAACATTATTCTACAATCTCTCTGATACATTATCCAATATTGTAGGATATTGTACGTCGGTATGTGAGAGAGTATATGTGAGAACAATACAAAGACACGCTTGACGCATTATAGAAATTACAAAACTTACTAAAATATAGAACAAAACAAAAAATTTAAGTCTAACAATGTGGGCACATCTGCATACTGACAATCCATAAAAATAGTGTTTCTATAAAAAAGGGACACGCTTTGTTTCAATAAATAAAGAAAGAAAGGAATTTGTAATCACTTTGAAAATGCTTCGATGTATAATGACAAGGCATTACTTTAACATTAAGCTTGCGTCATACTAATTGTAGTATTAAATAATTGTAATAATGACAAATCAAAAAAAAAATACTTCCACGTCTACAAATCCACAAATACAGCAAATAACCAATAAATCATGAATAAGTAATAATAATTATAATCCGCTAAAGCGATCACAATAAAATGACAAATAATATTTTTATCATTATTTATTTCGTTTCATATTTTAGCAAGTCTGTCGTATGAATAACAAAGATTTATTGAATACAGTCACATTAAGGTTTATTGACAAGATAACCAGAGATATGATATTCATTAATAACATTCTAGGCATGGTAGATAAATAAAACAATATCAAAACTGTCTCGTTTTCACCGTAATAGGGGGTGAGCCTATTGCCATATACCGGGCACATTTCCAGAATCCGTGCAACTACTGAGATTAAAAGAAAAACCAGTTATACTTTGCCCGACCCGGGAATCGAACCCGAGACCCCTTGCCCGGCAGTCGCACTTGCGACCACTCGGCCAACGAGGCAGTTATTATTATTGAATAATTTTATCTTAAATACATAATACAAGCTTTATTAATCTGACCTTTATACTGTATATCCATCCAATGTCTTAATGCCTCCCTCCCTATATTCTTTCTATCATGTGCCATGAATTTTTCTAATACTTCCTTGTTAAGACAATATCTATCACCTTCATGTTAGGGGCATATCATCTTGACCAGTCTAAATTATCTTTATAGCAAAATATTTATGTACAGTTTCGTTTCAGTGAATATTACAAACGAGAAGAAGCAGTGTACCTGAAGCATATAGTCCCTATCCTGAAGGAGCAAGGGAAACCAGTACCTGATTATAATGTGCTGAAGTATAATGCGTCTTTACTGCTGGGCAACTCTCAAGTGGCGATTGGTAACGCAGTGCCACTACCACCAAGCTACAAGCACATTGGAGGTTACCATATCGAGGATGAGGTTAAGCCCTTACCAGAGGTGAGTTGATTATTTAATGAAACTTTAATAGGTAAAGTGATATCTTGTGCCATTGTGATTCTTCTGTTTAAAACAATAGGAATGAAAATTCTATGCAATCAAATTATCTTTTTCCAGAATTTGAAGAAGATTTTGGATAATTCCAAGAATGGTGTGATTTACTTCAGCATGGGCTCCAATTTGAAGAGCAAGGACTTGCCGGATGAACTGAAGAAGGGTCTGCTGGAGGTGTTCGGAGGATTGAAGCAGACTGTTTTGTGGAAGTTTGAGGAGAATCTACCAAACCAGCCTAAAAACGTTCATATAGTGCAGTGGGCACCACAACAGAGTTTGTTAGGTAAGAATTGTCAAATTATAGAACCAACAAGAGATACCTAATAAAGTTTGTTTACTGTTATAAACAAAAGAAAACCAAATAGTAATGTGTAAACTGATAAGGGACTATTAAATGCTGCAGTTAATGCACTTGTAGCAAGCCAAAGTTCACTTGATATCAATTGGCTTGTCAGAACAGACTATATCTATACTATATTATTCATAGTATCACTAGTACTAACGACTAATAAAGCCATACATACATACAAACATCAACAGCCTATAGGTAAGTGCCCACTGCTGAGAAAAGCCTCTACTCACGCGGAGAATGTTTGAGATATTAATCACCACGTTTGCTCATTATGGTTTGGGTAATTTCAAACCTATAATTACAAATTTTAAGCTCCTTGAAGCGCGTCGCGTTCCGCGTGCGCCTCAAGGAGCCATCTGACCACTACAGATGGGGCCCAATAGGGCTGATGCCGACGCGGAGCCGCGGAGGGCTTAACGGGATGCCGGGGCTCCGGTTCAAAGTGCAGGAATAGGAACGGGGTGGTTTTTAGTCAGTAAGAATTTGACATTCCCTCTCGCCTCACCCAGGCGGGAGAAGTCGTTGGATGATTTTCGCCCCTTTAAAAAAAAGAGCTCAGGCTTCCTCACGATATTTTCTTCACCGTTTGTCAGTAGAGTCTAAATAGTCTTAGAAAGTACACATAATTCGGTAAAAGACGCATTGGTACTAGCCGTTGGTAGGTTTCGAGCCCGCGCCCTGATGCAAGAGAAACGGGCGTCTTAACCTCCAAGCCACCACGACACCCTACGTACATACGAAAACATTACTCGTGCATTGTAAATAAATTCTACCCATAATGAGTACAAATTGAAACTAATTGACAAAGTACACGACATGTAATTCAAATGTAAACAACGTACTAGGGACATGCCATTAGATGACAATTTTAAAACCATCAAAGAATAAGACAGGATGTCGGTAATCTTTTTACTACGTAATTTAGAGACACAATTAAACCTCCTTATGTATTAAAATTCTAAACAATGGTTTATTTCTGTACATGTCTCTTGTATGTGACCATCATTAGTATTCGGTGGGATCTGCCCTCATTAAAAATGACCATATGTATGTCTATATTCGTATCATACGTCATTACAATTGTGGGATCTGCCTTGAGGTATACACCATATGTAATAATTCTTATTTGTATCATATGTCATTTCAAGGTCATGGTATTTTTCCCGAAAAACAATAGCATATGTTTATTATGTTTAATTTGGATGTAAGTAAAGAATAAAGAACGAAGGGTCATTATTGTATTTTTAGAAGATTGCTCATAATTTGTAAACCTTAAAATTCTAAACCTTCATAGGAATTGTTGCAGATTACCATTTGTATTTACATCGTTAAATATTTTTCTATCAGTAGTAACTCAAATTTGACTTCAGCTGCTTAAATTTTATTTGTTCCAATATTTTTCTCTTCCAGCCCATCCTAACTTGAAGTTGTTCGTCACTCACGGTGGTCTCCTGTCACTCACTGAGGCGGTCCACTTCGGAGTCCCAGTAATTGCCATTCCAGTCTTCGCAGATCAGTTCCTCAACGCAAACCAAATTCAACATAAAGGAATTGGGGAAAAACTTGATCTTTCTTACAACTTACATAAGGACTTGAAGGTCGCTTTGGATAAGGTTCTTGCTGATCTTCCCAGGTAAGTTGATCAATCTACATAGGACAATTACTTATTCTTCATACTTCTGGGGAGGTTATAGTATATTTTTCATCACACTACAATCAATTTTTTTTAATGGGGGAAAATCATCGAATGACTGCTCCCGCTTGAGTGAGGCGGTAGGGAGTGTCAGACTCTCACTGACTAAAAACCACCCCGTTCCTTCTCCTGCACATCGAACCGGAGCCCCGGTCACCCGTTAGGTTCTCCCCGACACACTACAATCAATAGGAGCCAAGCTGTGAAGGGAAATGTTGGGAAAACTGGAGAAATTACTCCATTTTTTAAGCTTCCGTCGCATGTGCCACCTGAATGGTTAAAGCTACATAGAAACACAATGTGGTTTTTTACCACGAAATTGTCTTTGAAATAATAATTCTTTAATAAACTACGTTATTAAAAACCGACTTCAATCCCCTCCTTATTGCAGTCTTTCGTCGTCAACTAAAACCTTCTACTAAATGTAACAAACACTTTTCTAAAAACTACATAAAAACTGGTTCACCCAATCGTGAGATGATGGCACACAAACATACATACATACAGGTCTAGCTGAGAAGCTCCTTTCTTTCCTTTTTGAAGTCGGTTAAAAAAAACAATAGCGTGTGAGTATGAGAGAGCCATGCTTCGGCATGAATGGGCTCGACCGGAGTGATACCACGGCCTCACAGAAGACCGACGTGAAACAACGTTGTGTTGTGTTTCGTCGTGTGAGTGAGGTTACCGGATGCCCAATTACAACCCCCCCTCCCTTTCCCCAACAATTAAATTCCTAATCCCAAAAGGCCGGTAACGCACTTGTAACGCCTCTGGTGTTCCAGGTGTCCATTGGCGACGCCTATTGCTTACTATCAGGTGATCCGTCTGCTCGTTTACCGGCTTATCCCATAAAAAAGTCGTGTTAATTTTAAATTGAATTAACGCATTATTTCAAAAGAAAATTCGATTCAATAATAACCAGCGTCTCCTTTACTTACAGGTACACTGCCAAAATTAAAGAGATGTCTGTAGCATACCACGACAGTCCGATGAAGCCGAAAGAAGCGCTGAACTTCTGGGTGGAGCACGTGGTGCGGACGCGCGGCGCTCCACATCTGCGCTCAGTGGCGCTGCAAGTACCGCTGTACCAGCAAGCGTACCTAGATCTGTTAGCTGTAATACTGGCAGTTGCTGTTGTTATATTACTAGTGGTTAAGAAAATTCTACGTTTCCTTAAATCTCAGGAGAGTATAAAACAGAAGAAGAATTAAATTGTGAAATAGACCATATTTATTTATTTTTATGTAAGTGTATGCTGTTTAGATTCTGAATGCGAGTACATTTCAGAATACTTTTCATTTCAAATGTTACAAAGTTAATTTTAAAGTAAGTTTAGAGGAATATTGTAAGGGGTATTTTTATCTACCTATGTATTGGTATCTAGCAAAACTAACTCAAAAAGTAAAAATTAACTGTGATTAATATTTCTAAAAATACTAAAACTATACAGATAAATAAAATTGTAGTGTCCGTTTGTAATACTAAAATAACTGCTTTTTATCACATGCATACGAATATTCATACGATACACATTTATAATTTTAGTCTGTCTGTATATTTATCTGTACTGGCTAATCTCTGGAACGGCTGGACTGATTTTGACGGGACTTTTATTGGCAGTTAGGTAGTATACTAAAGAGAAACGCAGGTTACTTTTATTTTGGAAAATTAAAACAAAGAAAAACTTAATGTCCTAAAATTCATATTCTACGCAGACAAAGTTGGGTGCAACAGCTAATTGTATATATGAATCTTTTATTATTTATACTTATTATATAAACCGGAAGAGTTTGTTTTTTTGTTTGAACGCGCTAATCTCCGTAACTACAAGTCTGATTTGAATAATTGTTTTAGTGTTGGATAGCGCATTTATCGAGGATGGCTATAGGCTATAAAACATCACGCTACGACCAATAGGAGCTGAGCAAAGCGTGTGAAACCGCACAGAAGTAGCACAATATAAACATCAAAACGACATGGCATTGATATTTTTTATCTACATACATGGAGTTAATAAAAAATTGAAGGTTCAGTTAAGAAACACATGTAATATAAAATAATTATTCTAGTTTCCTAGTTGTTTACCACTATTTTCATAAACATCGAAAAAGTTTCCTTATTCACTTAAAATAGATGTTATTATTGTTTAATCTGTTGAGTGATTTGTTCACAACACACGCATACATATGTTAATGCTTCTGATTAATGTGTTTACCTATTGAAATAATACTTTAAGAGCTTGTTATATCAGATGAGGGTCAAGTTTGTTAGATAATATTAATAATTCTTTGTCAAGAATACAAAAGATATTTTTATGAGCGATGTAAACCTAGTTAGATGACTGCACTAAAATAGTGTTATGAAATTAAACTGAAGCAGTATGTATGGAATGGTCTTGTTATTTTTACTGTTCCTTTATTTCAGACAACTGTAGCCCATATAATACACAAATAAATAAATCCTTACTAATATTATAAATCGGAAAGTGTGTTTGTTTGTTTGTTCCGCTTTCACGTCACAACTACTAAAGTGATTGCTTTGAAAGTTTGCAGATGTATAGTTAGAAGTCGGGATTAAATAATAGGGTACTTTTTATCCCGGAAAAATTTGATATTCCCGAGGGAAAACAAAAGTATTGGTATAGACGGCGCTGTGTGTATTGGTATATGTCACATTGGTTTTTTATCCTTTTGTGACGCGAGCGAAGCCGAGGGTAAGAGCTAGTACAATATAAAATTATAATAGACACCATATAATTAATACATCAATAAGCTAATAGATATACTTACAGTAGCAATAATTATTAATGATAATGATGATATTAATGATGAATTGGTTGTCTATAAATCCTGTAAATACGATATTTTTAGCGTACTAACCAAAATAATAGCTAAGTGGTGGGATGACTTTGTAATTATGTTCTGACAAATACAAATAGTCCTATAAATATTGGAGATGTTTAATGTTATGTTTTAAATTGTATAATACTAATGATATATGTATAATTTGTAAATAAATTATATGTAATCTAATTAAATACTTGTACGTTTGAAAATAAAGTAATACTATAGTTCTTTCTGTTATAACTCTTATAATACTTTATTTATTTTTATATTTTTAAACGTTGCCCCACTCTAGGATTATCTCCTGTGTCGTGGGTGCGTTTACAAACATACAAGTTCACATACACATGACACCCACACCTGAAACAACAATTTGTGGATCACACAAAGTGCTGTTCCGTGCGGGAATCGAACCCGCGACACGTTGCACGGCAGCCGGTTGCCCAGCCACCACACCAACTGCAGTCATATTCTATTTATTATATCATATTATATTATATATCACTTTGTCCAACATGAACACCAAACCCGAGATCCCTTCCTTTACTCAGCCGCATTATCATGTTTGTGAAGATTCGACTAACAGTTAACTTTATCAAATGAAGCAAAATAATGCCAAACTCGTACGTTCATATTTCTATTCTGGGAGCCATAAGCAATCATCAGTTAATTCTTAACTGTAGAATAAAATTAACCTTTGACAGTTTTTAGTATGAAATAATTGTCAAATTTATTTTTCAGTTTTTTTTATGGCATAAGTCGGTAAACGAGCAGATGGATCACCTGATGGTAAGCAATCGGCGTCGCCCATGGGAACTTGGAACACCAAAGGCATTACAAGTGCGGTACCGGCCTTTTGAGGATTAGGAGTTTGAGGATCGTTGGGGATTCAGGAATTGGGGAGATTGGGGAAAGGGAGGGTAATTGGGCCCCCGGTAATCTCACTCACACGACGAAACACAACGCAAGATATGCTTCACGTCGGTTTTCTATGAGGCTGTGGTATCACTCCGGTCGAGCCGGCCCATTCGTGCCGAAGCACGGTTCCACACTATAGTTAAAATTTATTTGGCGTTGGATAAATGGGTTCACTCAACTAACCTTTTTTAATAAAATTAAAACTAAGTATTACTAAATTAAATATATACAACTTACCAAGATTCAAATTATTAATTAATTATTTACCTTTTTTATAGTTTGTCTAGCGGAGCAAATAAATGTTTATGTTGCTTTGGTTTCCTGAAATAACATAATATTTGATATATTTTCCTGTCTCTAATTTGTTCATGTAGCTAACATAACTGAGCGTTTATTTTTATGCTGATTAAGCCTTATATGCCTATTATTTATTTGATTACCTTTGTATTCATTAACCTCTTGCCAATCAACAAGTAAGGATGACTTTTAACTAATAACTCCTCATAATGAGCTCTTAGCAGCATAATCTTAATGACATACGCTACGTGTTGATAAGACTTTGTTTTGTTTTATTTATAGATATAAATACGGAAATAGGTACTATATCAATAACAATCTGTAAATGATTAGCAAGTGATATAGTATAAATACAATGGCAATTGATTAAAATAATGATGACCAAACACGTTTTTAATTTGATAAATATTAATTCACGGATCTGAAATATAACAGTCATAAATTACTCATTGCCTTCTTAGTTTCAACCTATCTGATATTATGTTTCCCATTAATGGATGCACTTGAAGATTACAAATTTAGATAAATAAAAATAATATACCAAAATTTAATTCCAATGGATCAAATCGAAATAAATTTTAGACGTATTCGTTAGTGTATTTTGAAAATTTTTATACAAGAAAAATTCGTTTTTAGGTACTTTCGCCGGGAACATCAAAAATAATACTAAGAAAGGCTAGGATGAAACTCAATGTTATAAAAAAATATATTCATGAATGCTCGTTGGTCGAGTCACAAGTGTGATTGCCGGCAAGGGGTCTCGGGTTCAATTCCCGGGTCAGGCAAAATACTACTCAGGGTTTTAAAAAAATCTCAATAGTAGCACGGAGTATGGAATTGTGCCCGGTATATGACCATAGGCTCAACCCTAATACATGGAACTCATAACATAAATAGTGAAAAGTGGGTGTTACATTGTACAATGGCATTAAGTGCCGTACTATGCACATCTGTCAACCCCTTAGGGGATGTCGCGGAGAACCTAACGGGTTACCGAGGCTCCGGCTCGACGTACAGGAGAAGGAACGGGGTGGTTTTTAGTCAGTAAGAGTCACTCCCTCCCGCCTCACCCAGGCGCGAGCAGTCATTCGATGATTTTCCCCCCTTAAAAAAACCCCCTTAGGGGATAAAAAGAGTTATGGATTCTCTAATTATAATAATTGTCGGTGGTCTGAAATAACAAATAAATACAAAATATTTTTTTTAAAACAGTATTTAATTCTTAAATAAATACAACGGACGTTTTTAAATCAGTATTTAATTTTTCTTATCCTTTTTCTTAATATTTACCGTCTTTTTAGGTCTAATTCGGTGGTACAGATTCTTTAGCAATACTTTAAGAACTAGAATAACTACTAATAGTAGGGCTGCTAGATCTAGGTACAGTCGTTGATATAAAGGCACTTGTAGTGCAGGAGAGCGTAGATGAGGAGCGCCGCGCGTATTCACTACATGCTGCACCCAGTGTCGCAGCTCTGCTCCCGGCTTCACTGGTCGGTCGTGGTAGATGTAGGATAGCTCCTTTACTCGCTGTCTGTACCTGCAAGTATTAAAAAATATGTTAAGATTAAAAATACTTTTCCTTTAACCCCTCGTGTCTAAACGTGAATCCACGTTTAGACACAATGTAATTTCTATTGTGTCTCATATTGGTGCATTCAAGCGGTTAAAGCGGTTCCAATAAGTACTTTTTTTTGAAGGGGGGAATATCATCGAATGAGTGCTCCCGCCTGGGTGAGATGGGAGGGAGTGTCAGACTCTTACTGACTAAAAACCACCCCGTTCCTTCTCCTGCACGTCGAGCCGGAGCCCCGGTTATACGTTAGGTTCTCCGCGACTCTAATGAGTACTAAGAAATCTCCAAATATCTACTTTGAAGATCATATGTTTACTTTTTATAAAGAATTACTACAAAAAAACCAAAGCTATCTTCTCCGGCTTTTTAAAGCGTTTGGATTGTAGTTTGAAACTTAAAAACACATTGAGTTACATAGATCCATGGAAAGATAGTAAAATATGACTTACTTAGGATTGTTCAGCATTTCCTGAATCGCCACTTTTAACTCGACAGCTATTGAGTGAGACAGCTTAACTTCCAAAGCATAACCTCTGGCGACGGCTTTCTTGACATTGATGAACTGATCTCCAAAGACAGGTATGGCAATAGTAGGAACACCGTAGTGAATAGTTTCTGTCGTAGAAAGTAACCCTCCATGTGTTATGAATAGCACGCATTTTGGATGAGCTGGAATCAAGAAAGTAAAACATATTATACTTATAGATGACGCTAAAATATGTGTAGAAGATTATGAAAATGTGAATTTCAATAATAAAATTTATTTGATCAGGAATCACGAATAAGGAAAAAAGAACAAAACAGACGCACTTTATAATTATCACAAACATCGATATCTGTCAACAATATTTTTTATACACGGTGGCAAAAAAGCAAATGTCCTACCTGATGGTAAGCGGTTACCGTGGCCTCGGTTACAACACTTGGGGCATATACCTATATTCTACGTCAATATTAACATCGCAATGTCGAAAACGACTGGTATTTTTCGGATCATTATTGCTCCCATGTCGGCACTTTATCCAGTAATGTCTTTAACATAAGTTATAAAACGGTAAACCATACCTAAAATGCTGGGTTGCGGTGCCCATTTCAAAATATGAACATTTTTCGGTACATTTGGCAATTCCTCTTCAAATTTCCATATCACTGTTTGTTTTAATTCTCCGAACAATTTAAGGAGATCACGTTTGATCTCTTCTGGCCAGTCCTTGCTCTTCAAGTTGGATCCCATACTGAAATATATGACTCCGTTTTTAGAGTTCATCATTATCTTTTCCAAGTCCTGTCAACAAGAAAGTTTATTAGGTATTAGTCACTGATTGAAAGTTACATATCATAACATCACGCCTTTTATCCCCGAAAGGGTAGGCAGAGGTGCACATTATGCTACTGTAGAATGTAACACACACTTTTCACTATTTATGTTATGAGTCCCATGTAATCGAGGGTAAGTCTATTGCCATATACCGGGCACAATTCCAGACTCCGTGCTAATACTGAGTTTTTTTTTTATAAGCCCAGTTCTCCTTGACCCGACCCAGGAATCGAACCCGAGGACGCGTCCGCCTCCACGCGGCCAACTAGGCAGTTATATAGACACAATAATTATAAAGTATCGAAAACGTCTTGATTTTCTGGTGTATTATTTGATTTATTTAATTTTAAAGTAACTAAATTCAAACCTCATTTAATCAACCTTCATTACGTTAAACTAGACACTTGATTTTGAGAAAAAAATAATGAGATCGTGATTTGTTAAAATTGATAAGTACCTCAGGCAATGGCTTGACTTCTTCCTCGATATGATAGCCTCCAATAGACTTGTAATTCTGCGGTAAACCTAGTGGAATCCCAGTAGACACATGTGAGTTACCCAACACTAGAGTTGCGTTATATCGGACTTCACTATATGGTGGAACTTGCCGACCTCTCTTTTGAAGTTGAGGTACAATTAATCTCTGATATTCTGCTTCCTCTGTAGGTTCATAAACCCTGAAAAACACAAAAATTACTTTGTTAGTATTTTGGAGTTTCAGAATGCCTTTGATACAATACAGATCTTTGTTAAAAACTGCCCACAAAAGCATCTAATAACCGATACACAAATGTTTTCACTACTTCTAAAATATTTTTCCATTGCCTGGATTGCTCAGCAGCAGCATACTGCTCTTGTGATACAGAGATACCTAGTACAAGAACCAGGGCTTCACTGTGTTAATTCTCTGTTGCGCTAATAAACGTTTTTATTACTTTTTATTTTATTTTATACTGCAATCTTAATTCTCGTATTAATGTCAGATTTAATGTTAAAATAACATCTAATATTCTATTTAGTTTCTCTAAACAACAAACAATTGGCAGATGATACCAATGTAGGTACATATTTCCAACATTTTGCTACGAACTAATGCTACTTACATGTAGTCGTTGTAACTATCACTGATCCTCATCCATAGCTCTTCCAATCTCTCCAAGAATGTAAAGGGCGCCGTATATAATGCCATAGTGTCCGTAGTATAAGCTGGATTAGGTAAAACATCGATCAATCCAATTGACAACGCGTTCACTTCTACAGGACTCACCCAGATCATAGGACAGTCGAATATTGTAGCATAACTGAAATACAAACATAAACATTAGCAATTTGGGAACAAGAAGAAAACTTAATCCCCTTTGTCCCCAAAAGATTTGCAACACACTGGCAACTGGTCTGGTGTCGTACACGCTGCCGATTGCTTACAGATGTGGTCTGTCTACTCCTTTACTGTTTCATGAAATAAAAGTGGCTATTCGATCTCAATATCAAATTAAAAATATCTAAACCTCAAATGGCCAGCAACAAACTTATAACCCCTCTGGTGTTATGGGCTGTACTAATTGCTTACCATCAGCTGAACAGTCTGCTCATAAAAAAACCTTTTTGCCTTATAAAAACAGTTTCCTTCTGACAAAACACATGGTGATATGTCGTGGTGGCCCGGAGGTCCAAGACGCCCGATTCTCATACGTGAGAGTGCGAGTTCAAAACCTACCAACGGCAAGTACTGATGTGACTTTTTCCGAGTTATATGTACATAGTGTCAATATTATTTAGACACTACTAACAAACGGCGAAGGAAGACATCGTGAGGAAACATGAGCGAATAATTTTTAATTCAATGTCATAACATCACGACTTTTATCCCCGAAGGGGTAGGCAAAGTCGCACACAGAGGTAACACCCACTTTTTACTATTTATGTTACGAGTCCCATGTAATAGGGGGTGAGCCTATTGCCATATACCGGGCACATTTCCAGACTCCGTGACAGCATACTGAGATTTTTTTTAAACCCAGTAAGACTTTACCCGACTCGGGAATCGAACCCGAGACCCCTTGTTCGGTAGTCGCACTTGCGACCACTCGGCCAACGAGGCAGTCATTTGTAGCAGTAATTTCTAATTATAAGTTTGAAATCACCAACCCGCATTGAGCAAGCGTGGTAATAAGTACTCAAACTTTCTCCGTGTGAGAAGAGGCTTTGCTCATCAGTGGGCATTTATAGACTGTTAATGAAAAAGACATGGGCCTAAGTAAAAATTGTAACATTGTAACGTTGTTTTTTTTTCTATTTTACTCACCTTGCACTAAGGTCCGACATCATATGCTCAACAATGACCACATCAAAGTGTTCATTGGTATCATTCAACAGTCTCTGTACATTTTCATGTTCCAGCGTTTTCATCACCAGATTTATCAACATCAGCTTCACGAAGTTTCGATGACCGCTCGGCTTGGGGGCTTCCATCAGATGTTTTAAATTTATTTGGTATGCTGAAAATTGAAATAATTCTATAACAAACTACGATTAAAAAACCGACTTCAATCCCTTCCTTCTTGAGATCGGTTAAAAACTTTTTCCTAAGTTTAAACATTTTTCTGAAAACCGCATCAAAATCGATTGAGCAAATCCCGAGATAAATCACAAACGCAAACATACATAAATACTGGTCAAACAGCGAACCTCTTTCTTTTTTAAAGTCGGTTAAAATTTTATTATTTAATTGCGATTCTTCTCCAGAAACCTAATTGTTTGTGTTTTAACAACTCTAGGTGAAAACTGAAATTTGTTTTAGACTCTGTGTCAAACAACTGCTTTACAGAGTTACAATGATTTCAAAGGCGTAAAAGTGTTGGAGATACATTTTATACATCACAATATTTCCTGCTAATCCTTCTCAGAGTCTAAAGTTTGTAGGTTTTTGATCAAATGAGTTTTACTTACTTGGCAAGACGTCGAAATTGCTGCTCACGTCAATCTGCCTAAGATTCGGTGGGGGGTTCTTATATTCGATTGGTGTGATGTATGTTACCTGGATAATGAAAATATTTTATTAATAATAGTATATATACTAAGTAATGCTTACAAACTATAAACATACACAAATTCGATAGTATTTGTCCACACACATAGTGTAATAGTTCCACTCTAAAATAAGAGATGGCGCCACTTGTGATTTGTGTGTGAACAAGATTTCCATTAAACATGGTATTCTTAAACATAACACATAACATAACATCACGCCTTTTATCCCAGAAGGGGTAGGCAGAGGTGCACATTCCGAATATTAATGGCACTTTAAGCATAACATTTTGGGTTCTTTATCAAATTCAAATACTTTTTGGCAATAGACTTACCTCATGTCCGTCTCTTAACAGATTTCTAACAACGCCATTGCCTAGATGAAAGTGACTAGTTGATGGCATTCCAAACACCACCAGCGCTTTGTAGGCCTCACATGATGAACTAAGGAGAAGACCCAGGAATAACAATATTGCTAACGCCATTATCTGAAACAAATAATAAGGTGCTTTAGGTTAGGCACTTTAATAGTAGTGATGAAGCTTTATTCGAAAGGCAATATCATTTTAACCAAACTGATATGGACAAACGGTGAAGGAAAACATCGTGAGGAAACCTGGGCTTATAATCTATACATATAATAAAATCGAAAATGAAAACTGCACATTGAATATTTTATTAAAAGAAAGCTTTAGGCGTGATCTACAGTCGAAACTGAAACCAACAATATGGTTTTTAGAATTTTTATCTGCTTATCTGTTAGTCTGTATGTATGTCCGGGATGAACTCAAAAAGTGCTAGATGGATTTACTTCAAATTTTTCAAGAATATTATTAACAGAGCCGGTCAACATATAGGCTACATATTAATCATGCTATGAAATACGGGGGAGGAGCTGTAAAAAACTATTCCACGCGGACGAAGTCGCGGACTGAGCTAGTTTATAATTATAAGATTGTAATCGGCAACCCGCATTAAGCAAGCGTGTTGATTAATGCTCTAACCTTCTCCGTGTGAGAAGAGGCTTTGCTCAGCGGTGGTCATTTATAGGCTGTTGATGATGAATATGGACAAAGTGGAATGAGGAAAAGTGTTTAAATCTTATTTCAAAATCGAAATGTACTAAAGTGTATTTTGAGACAAAAACGGCTCATGTATTAACTTTTCAGTGTATGTTACAGTCAGCTAAAGAAATCAGCACTTCTACAATAGAGATTCTTGATTGGCGATCATTAGCCTCACTGTAGAGTAAGTTCTTTTGTGGTGCCCAAAAAGGCCTATAGTTGGAACACGTCATTATGTCAAAAATTGTAAACCACCCTGTACACACTAATAGATGCATTAAAGTGATTTGATTTGATTTGGGGGTAAAATCTAACAATATTTATTATTAGTTTCTATTTCACAAACAGGAATATTATTCAATACTTAATGCAGTTTATTTCCTCATTATTGTTGAATTCCTAGAAGGATTTAAAGTAACCTCGAATAGCAAATTCTATGTAACTCTAATTCTAGAAATTCATTTAATTACTTAGCTATTATTGTGAAGCCATAACAAGATTTGATGTTGTACGTAAAGGTTAAAAATAATAACATTCATGTTTTTCACAACATACTGAAATGACGGTAACAAAAAAAAAACTATTAGAATTAGTAACATTGGAAAATAATTAACTTCGAATATAATCTTTTGAATACAGAATGTAGTCAAAGTCAAAGTCAAAATTATTTATTTCAATTAGATATAGAAGGCACTTTTGAACGTCAGAACAAAATATTATAAACCTAAACACGTTAACCGCCGCGTAGGTCACCGGTGACCTATGTACGTTAGCAGAGGATTTGTCTTCAACAGTTTTCTATCGGCAGTCGAAGGCTTAAAAAATGCCACTCTATCGGTTAATCCTCTAGTGAAGCTATTTGCTCATTTCAAGATGTAGATTCCCATGGATAAGAACGAGCAATACATTTCAAATGTTGCGTCTTGTGTAATAACTAGCTACTTCCGCGCGGTTTCATATGCTCTGCGCAGCTCCTATGAGTCGTAGCGTGATGTTTTATATCCCATAGGCATCCTCGATAAATGTGCTATCCAACACAAAACGAATTATTCAAATCAGACTTGTAGTAACGGAGATTAGCGCGTTCAAATAAACAAAAAAACAAACTCTTCCGCTTTATATAATAGTATAAGAGTATAAGATGTTATTTTCCAAAAAGTTTTAAAAATGCCATTTTCTATTTAATCGACTATATGTATTTTATGATAAAGAAATCAAGAATTCGTTTCAACAAAAATGATTAGAGAAGTTGAGATACAGAACTATGCTACAAGAAGCATTTAAGTATATTTGTTGTGTATATGGAGTCAACAATTACCTAATTTATATTTATAGTTCTGATAACGCGTCTTATCTCTAATGCCAGCCGTCACGTAGATAGAAAAATGCTACACAATTATCAAGAATATGATTAATTGTAGGCATTTATAATTATGTACATATACATCTTTACAATAAAATGTAATACTGCCTCGTTGGCCGAGTGGTCGCAAGTACGACTGCCGGGCAAGGGATCTCGGGTTCGATTCCCGAGTAGGGCAAAATATTCCTGGGTTTTTAAAAATTTCAGTAGTAGCATGGAGTCTGGAAATGTGCCCGGTATATGGCAATAGGCTCACCCCCTATTACGTGGGACTCATAACATGAATAGTGAAAAGTGGGTGTAACATTGTACAGTGGCATTAAGTGCTGAAATGTGCACCTGCCTACCCCTTCGGGGATAAAAGGGCGTGATGTTATGTTATGTTAATAAAATGTAATAAAGTATTCAATGTCCTAAAACTGTAAACAGCCTCCGAAGGACACCAGCATATTCTAAACTTTCGGTTTTCTCCCCATCATCTGTACAGTAACTAATTAACTTTACTAACTGTGAGAGAGCCATGCTTCGGATAGGCCGGCTCGATCGGAGTAATACCACGGCCTCACACGACGAAACACAACGCAAGCGTTGTTTCACGTCGGTTTTCTGTGAGTCAGGTTACCGGAGGCCTATTACCCCCCCCCCCCCCCCCTTCCCCTATCTTCCCAATCTCTGAATCTCGAACAATCCTCAAACTCAAGGGATCTCACACTCGACGCGGACGAATATATGCCACTGTACACAGTACTAAGAGCATATGCCACATCCATAGGGTTTCTGTGAGTGCAGAGAAGTTCTTGGCTAATAGCCACGACGTGTGTAGGGCGGTTGTAAATGAGGGGGAAGAGGTTGTCTCGGTCAATGAAGGGAAGTTGATTTATGTCATCAATCAGCAGAACTTCTTTGGCCCGAGTTATTCGGGCCGCCATCACAATGGCCCCAAAGTGATTCATGAGAGCCTCATCAACCATGATTCGGTGGCAGCTCTCTTGCTCTTTTAATCCGTTCACTAAAATGGATGCCATTGTTCGGACTTTGGATTTGACTAATCCTCCGATTCGGCAGGATAGTTTCCCTCTGAGGTCATTTGCTGCTTCAGTTGTTGTGGTGACGATTAAATCTCTTTCCGCTTCGAATTTGTTTATTATCCATGTAGTTTTGCCGCATCCCGGCACTCCATTTGTCCAGTGAAATGTCGGGGCATCCCAGCCCCCAAAGTCCACGCCGCCCGGCCCAGGCTCCGAAATGGATCCCACCATTTCCAAGATCCGATCCTCCAACATGATCCTGGTGCACCCGGCAACTACCACTAAGGAGTCTTCATGAGGAGTTTTAAATTTCACAACTCCCCGTTTATCCGATTCCTTCTCATCCAGAGACACAAATCTTGCGGTGGCGTTGTAAGCTGCCATACTACGACTTCTCAGCTTCTCAGGGTCGCGAATACCCAAATCTCCTCCGAACACGTTATACCTGGTACACACTCAGGTAGAAAAGGAATCCCTTAAAAACCAGGGATACGGATCGGGTGTGGGATCACGCGTACTCACAATACACGAGGCTCAGGGGCTTTCGTACGCGGCAGTGGTTGTTGTGAATACAGAGGAGAAGAAACAGCGGATACACGACAGTGTATCGCACGCCGTGGTAGCTATATCCCGTCACACTAACAGCTGTGTTTACTACACGAATATCAGAGACGACGCGATCAGCAAATTAATCAGACGAGCGGTGGGTGAGAGTGAGCGGGGGATCCTGGACTATAACTTGAAAATGGCTATCAGCAACAGGGACGTGGCGGTAGTGGGCGCTCTTTTGGGTGGGGAGGGCTCGCTGTAAGCTTGAATTGTGATGCAAGCGTGACATTAATATATATTTGTGTGTGTTTAATAATGTTAAAATGTAGTAAATATAATGTAACGTAATGTAAATTTTATCAATAAGACTGACAAAATACATTGGCACTACTGGAATCGGCTTACTGCTGCGTGAGCAGACGTCATGCATTTTTAAATGTTCTACAGTCGGTGGCGCTGTGGACTGGGTCGCTCCGTTCCCTACGAAATGGTTGATCGGACCGATTGCTGGCCCTCACGTCATGCTCGTGAACGGGCGCCTTCTGCTGGAGCAGGTCGGCTCGCTCATCGCGCGTGTGGGCCGATCCAGTAAGGTTAATGTAAATGTAATAAAACATGTATTGTGTATATATAGATATTAGACACAACCTTCTTTGTGGAAAAAAAAATGTGGTTAATGTAGCACGTAAGATTTTTGTAACAATTAATTTTGACTGTAAATTAAAAGATAATGTAATGGAATGACAAGGGCATGGACAAGAGTCCGTGGAGAATAAGAAATGTAATATTAAAAAAAAAAAAAAAAAAAAACAATCCTTTCTCCTCCAAATTCCTAATACCCAAAAGGCCGTTAATTCACTTGTAAAGCCGTTGGTGTTCCGAGTGTCTATGGGTGACGCCGATCGCTTACCATCAGATGATCCGTCTGCTCGTTTACCGGCTCACCACTTAAAAAAAGGAACCATCATCTGTACACTAAGTTACTATAAACGCTTTGACTTTGACTTGACTTTCGCCACGGGATATTGGCCCGTAAAACATAAACAAAAAGATTTGACTACATTTTGGAACAAACACACAGCTTCATTGATGACAGGCAATTCAGTTTCAACGTTTCAAAGTATCATAACATAACATCACGCCTTTTATCCCCGAAGGGGTAGGCAGAGATGTACATTATGCCACTGTACAGTATAACACCGACTTTTTACTATTTATGTTATGAGTCCCACGTAATAGGGAGTGAGCCTATTGCCACTGAGAATTTTTTAAAAACCCCGTAGTACTTAGCCCGACCCGGGCATCGAACACGAGACACCTTGCTCGGCAGTCGCACTTGCGCACCACTCGGCTAGCGAGGCAGTATGGATTAATTTAAATAAATGCTTTAATATTAACCTAACTACAGGAACTAAAAGAAATTATGGCAAATCTCATCATAAAAAAATCGACTTAGTTACGAAGTAAACGATAACTTGATA